AATATAGTTTTAAAAAATCGTATTTTACAATTTCTGTAATAATTAAGGTGTGCCATTTTTCATATGATTTTTTAAAAAATTTCTTTTGTAATTCTTATTACATGTTCTGCATTTTCGTATACATAGATTAATTATGTTTACGTAAAATAGAAATTATGGTCAAGCCAGAGCATTCTTAAAAATATCGTTACCCTAAATAGTAGGAGGAACAGAATGTTTTTCTGAAGTGGCTGCGTAAATTGAATAGGAAAGAAAAAAATTTCTATCTTTTAAGAATGTGTTGTTAATGAAAAGAGCAAAATGCTCAGAACTTATTTAAATCTACAATGCCAGTTTAGTTACGATTAAATAACTGAAATGTTTTTTATATACTATTTTTGAAATGTTTTTTATATACTCAGGATTTCCCTATTTATTAATTTAATTACTTATTTCGATTTCAATATTCAGTTATTTTAATTGCCTCGACAAATGTATATTAAGTGAATATGTGGGGGAAAAAAAACAGAAAAAAAGTCAAATAAAAGTACCCCTCCTCCCCCCAATTCATCTAATAAACTAAAATCTTTTAGAATCTGACAAAAGAAAAAGTCGCTACAATCAAATTTTTAATTCAAAATTTGTTTCAACTTGTTGGCAATTACTTAAAATTTCCATTGTGCCTTTGTGGATCTTGATCGAAGTAGAATCATTTTACATTTGTTGTTAATCAAAAATTATGCTAAAGCTGTATAATGTTATTTGCTTATTTTAATACTAGAAATTTATTCAAATTTTAACAGAGACTTGATTTTAGCAAAATAGGAAACAAAAATTTGCACATTCTGGGTTTCAAGAATTTATATTTTTCAAACTCTCACAGAATAAATGTACACTAAAAATAAAGGACTCCAAAGTTTAAAAGAGTTTACCTCAAATGCAAAAATACAATAGTGAGCTACAAGGAACCTGAAAAAACTTTTTCATCAACCTTACATGACACTTTTCTATAATAGAAACTGTTGTCATAGTCTGCCTGTTATATACCAACTTATGCTTCTACATCTAAAACATAAAATACAGAGAAAACTCCAAACAATAGGTCTTGGTGGACCAGTGCCTGTGTGACATGTTTTAAGAGGCAACCGTTAATTGAATTTTCAAAGGAATTGCTTGCTCAAAAAATAAAATAATAATTAGAAACAGAAAATTTAATTCATTAAATATTTAAGTTTAATTCAAATTACTTTGTTTATGCATGAGTAATTTCTACAAATTGCATAAAATGAGAGCTAATCGATGATGCATTAGGTACTGCTGGCAATTGTGAATGCTAGAACAAAATTTAATGAGTACCAAGCATGCTTGGGAACTAAACACTGGGGGTTCCGTGTTCAACTGACCACCAGACTTTTCTTTTTTCCTTTTCTTCCAAACGTGGACACGTACCTAGGTTTGCAAAACCCTTAACCATATAGTCCACGTCTGGCCACTGGTCTAGCTCGCACAAAACACAATACATATGTAAACAATCACATAATACACCACTGCATCACAACCACAAAGCACAATTGCAAAATTCAGAATACATAGGGAAAATGACCACCAGACTGAACATCTGCTCCTGCACCACAGACCCCAAGGTCATGAAAACTGAGAGGGGCACAGTATGTCTTGGCCCTCTAGGGGCTGTCACGCCACTGAGTTCAATTTAGAATAAGATTCGTGTGATTCATGCAGACTACCCATACAAGATGTCGGTTATCTGTAATTGAATTGTCCATGATTTATTTCTGCATGAATGTTCAAAAATTTTTCTTTCACAATCGCAGAAAAATGATGGTCATTATAGGAGAATATTTTTAGTAATGAATAATTGAAATTATTGCAAGATAGAAAATAAAAAGTTAAAAAAAGTTGACTAAGATACATCCTGAAACAAACTTCAAGCTAGCAACAAACGGCTATTATTCAGAAATTGCCAACTAGAGGTTCCACCCTAATATAAGTGTAATGGAATGTTAATTAAACAAGAGTACTAATAAAACTGTCAATACAATTATGAAAGGCTTAGATAACAAAACTAATTGTTGAAACTAGAGTTTAATTAAATTTATAACTTTATATAATTTAATTAGTGGATGATGCTTTAACAAGCCATAGTAAAAAATTCTAAATGCTGACACCTGACTATTTTTATCAATCTATGGATTTAAAGTTGATTTCAATTAGTTTTTAAACATATTGAAAAGAACATTATACAAAATTTATGGCACTGAAACTATGTGTCTGCATTTATAGAAATATAATAAAAATTCAGAAAGTGACAACTGATTATTTTCAAAATGTCATCACCACTTTCAGGAGACAAACTTTGTTGGAGAACTTGATTAACACCCATGTTAAAATTTTTTTGTATGAAAAATTGGTTAAAAATGCGGAATTAGTAAGAAATATATACAGTGGAGCATCGTTTATACGACGATCACTTATACGACGTTTACATTTATACGACGTTTTAGTGTGGTCCCAAATCATTCCTATTCATTTTAATGTAAAAATATATCGTTTATACGACGCACAAAATCGGTTATACGTCGGTTTTTAGATTTTGTTCACATTTATTTAATTTTTTATTTTTACTTGTGTATTTTAAAAAAGGGCGGGATTTGCCAACATGAATGATACAGAAAAAGGTGCCAACAAGAATGCTTGAATGACGACCGTAATTTTTACTAGATGACTGAAAAAACTTGACAATGTTATGAAGAAGGAAAAACGAAAAATTTTGCTATTCATCGACCAATGTCCAGCGCACCCATCGATACTAATTATTTCGGAAAATGTAAAAGCTCCCTTTTTTCCTGCAAATTGCACAAGTGCGCTTCAGCCATTAGATTTGGCAGTGATTAGAAATCTAAAATTGCATCATAGAAAGCAGTAAGTTCAACTCGCTATTCAAAGCATTGTAGAGACTAATAGCAGGAAAATATAATTTAAGGTAACATACATTCAAATTGCTCACTGCAATTTTTCTTCTTTGGTTATTTGTTTGTTTTGCTTTGTCTAATTTAGAAATTTATGTAAATCAACACGTTAAACATTAAAATTAACTGAAAACAGAGTTAGTTTCAATTTTAGAAGTTAAAATCGATTATACGACGTTATCGTTTATACGACGTTTTTCGGTGGTCCCTTTGGCGTCGTATAAACGATGCTCCACTGTATATTCAAGTTTGCCTGAGTCATAATTAAACAAACCATTTTTTAAAAATTATTTTTATTTCAACCTTTTTTAACTTTTTTTTTGCCTTTCTTGACAGTGAATATTTAGTTTAAAAAAATGCTAGGAATCTATAAAATATCTGCAATTTTATTAAGTGTTTATGGCTCTTGTATTTCTTCAAAGAAAAAGAAGTACAGTGAAGATATGTTTTTTCCATTGAAATAACATGAAGTATTCTTTTAGTGTTCTATGAGTGTACATTTGCACTCTTGAAGGTATGGCCTAAGTGATAAATAAGCTATTACTCTTAACAGCTGGTTTAAATATTAATTGTTATATATAATGGCTTGATTAAAACAAACAAAAGAAGACTTGCTGCTCTCAGGCATGAAAGTGGACAAAAATAAAAAAAGCTGAACTTTTACAAAGCAGACACTGGAAGGTGCGGGGGAGGGAGTGCTCTATGTAATATTGTGATATCAATAAGATACACAAAAACATAACTTCTAACTCTGTCGTGAGATTTTTATTTTAAATTAAAAGTGGCAGAAGCATTTAGACAGTAAAATTTAAATTTTTCTTAAATATAATTTTAAACAACTTTGATCACTAATATATTAAAGAAAATTAAGCAATATATAAGGCTCAATAATCATCAGTTTAAATTAATTGCCCGTCAATCACTTAAAATTAAAACAGTGGCTAACTTTCCCCTCAAGATTGTTACTAACAGTTTTAGTCACTTTGACTGTTTTATTTAACCAATGAAACTTGAATTTAATTTTTGCAACAGCATCCACCATACACACTTTATGTCCGCCTTTCAAATTGACTTCCATCGTTAAAATATATTCATCTTACGATGCACCTTGGGAAAAGGACACAAATAAATGAAAAACAAATATGTACAAAGGCAAACGCAAGCAGGAATGGCTAAAAATAAAAGCTAGCAAAGTCGAGAAAACTATAATGTACGGATGGATAAATTCAATACTTGTCGCACCAAGGAGGAAAGCATCGGAACAACACCGGCAGCAGAAATGAAACTGCCTAGAACTCAACAACCAAGAACCTCATCCTTTCTGCTCTACAGCAGAAGTCGTGGTTGTCAAGGCAACGGTGCACTTCCCAAAGAACCACCCATTTTCTCCTGATGGACACTCTGAGTCTACCGCAGGATAAAAAAAGTTCGCTCCAAGTACGGCCATCGTTCGGGCAGCTCGGTTTTCAGAAGTTATGGGAGGAATGTTCTGTAATAATTGAATAGAAAAAATTAAATTTTTGGAACATTCTCAGAAATTTTAAAAAAGCGGATTTTTGCAGAATATTTCATCCATGTGCTCTGGAGCATCAGACATAGGGGTATTCTCACATATTTCACTGACAAATCTGCGAAGATTTGTACCAATCTGATTTAAAAAATTAGTTGCGTTTGAACCTTTTTTCTTTATTAAACTAATGTTAAAAGTAGTTGCCAGAAATCTTTAAAAACTACTGGATTTTTTTTTTTTTTTTTTTGCATTGCACAACTCACAACACAACTTCTTTTAAAAAGTAGTACACTAAATTACAAACTGTGAAAAAAGTAATGACTACAGTAGCTTTGCTACTTACCACCAATCAAAAGCATGTATGTTCATACCTGAAAACTAAGAAACAATGCAAAAAAATACAGAAAAAAATATTTATGAGTCTATCGCTGTCTGCCAAATCAGTACTTACGATGCTTTTAAGTTATAAATAAATTGATACTACATTAAAAGTGTATTAATAATATTCAATATAAACTACATACTTGGTTTCAAATGATTCAGAAGATGAATGAACTAATTCAATATTGCTGTCAGGTACTGGTTCAACTTTTTGATAAGATGATGGTGATGGCTCAGCATTCGCTTTACAACTAGATGAGGTTTGACAAGGATTATCTATAATGCTTTTTTCACTAACTTTTGATTTTCCTTCACAACTGTCATCTGTAATAAGTTTACCTGAGTTTGCCTCAACTTCAGCTACTTGTTGGTCAGGTTTGACTTGAGTTTGGTCCACTATGTTGGGAACATCTTTGATTTCCTTCTTTGTATTTACACTACACAAATCCCTTTCACTTTGTCCAACAACTAACTTATTTGTTGGACAATCGGATACAGTTGAGTTTATATTACTTTCTAGTTTGGTTTTAACAGTTTCTAAGTCGGTGTTCTCAACATTTAGAAAAGCACTTTCATCAGAGTCCTCATTTTTTGAAAAATTTTTTTTATCTGTGTCTGGATTTTTTAAAGCACTTTCATCAACGATTTCTTTTATTGAAACAATATTTTCATCTGAAATTTTATTTTTTGAAATACTTTCCTTTGTATCTTTATCTTCTAAACAACTAATTTCATCAATGTCTTTATTTTTTAAATTTTCGTTTTTTAGCAAAGGACTTTCACCTCTTCTAGCTGCTTTTGAATAAAATATTTTGTCTTTGCCTTTAACAAAACATTCACCAATGTTTTCATTTTTTAAAGTACATTTATCTTTGGCTTCATTTTTTAAAGTACATTCGCCTGGATCAATTTTTGATGAAGCAGTGTTTGTGTCAATTTTTAAAGCACTTATAGTTTCAGCTTCAATTTTAAAAGAATTTTCTTCCGTGCTTTCAGTTTTGGAAGAATCACTTTTATTAGTGTATTCAATCTTTAAAGTACTTTCATCTGTTAATAAAGTACATTTAACTGTCTCTTGAGTTTCAGTTGAAACAGTTTTTTCTATATCTTGAGTTTTTAAAGCACTTGTATTTGTAGTATCTTCAAGTTTTATTGCACTTTTATTTGTATCTTCAATTTTTAATGCACTTTTATTTGTATCTTCATTTTTTAATGCACTTTTTTTTGTATCATCAATTTTTAAATCATTTGTATTAGTATCTTCACACTTTAAAGCACTTATATCTTTGTCAATTTTTAAAAACACATTTTTATTCCCGTCGTCAATCTTTGATTCGACAATTTTACTTGTGTTTTCACTTTTTGAAGTATTTTTGTTGATATTGGAAACAATAATATTTTTGTCTCCTTCAGACAAAAAGACACTCCTTTGGTTATGTTTATTATCCAGGTTGACATTTTCAGTACCTTGTATCAATGAATCATTTTTATTTGCTTTACCTTTCTCATTTGCTTGTTTGTTTTTAAGCGGCAAAGCCTGATTTTCGTGTTTTACGCCAGTCACAGAACAGTCTTCTTCAGATGAAACTGATTTTGTAGTGTCTTTTGAACTATTTTTATCATCTCCAGACTTGTCTGTACAAATATCCTGATTTTTATTTGAAATAATAGTATACACTTTGTCTCTTTCAATTTTAATTATGTGTCTTTCAATTGTGACGTTACCAGTAGAAGGGGTTTCCTCACTTTCATTTTTTTCTGTTTCTTTCTCAACTTTTTTCTTTTTTGAACTTATTTCTTCTATTGCAACTTTTAAAGTATTTTCACCGGTATCGATTTCATTGCAGCTATCTCCTTCTGGTACAGTATCCTCATCACTACTTGAAGGTTTTTCAACAATTTTAGGAGAAATAATGCACTCTTCTGAGTCACTTTTTTTCTGAGATTCTGAAATTTAAAGAAAAAAAAAAGGTGAACCATTTGTAAATATAGAACATTTAATTTTGCAGACTTATGTATCAATAGCTGGTAAAAATCGACAAAAAATCATAACTTTTAGAAAACTTGTACTCCATAGCTTCCCTTTTAATTTAATAAAATACAAAATAATTAAAGATTGTTTAATATCTGAACAAATTTGCTCAATGTACTACCATTTCTTAGTTAAAGAATAAAAGTTATCAACTGTTTGTTATATAAGAATGCAGATAGTTAAAATGACAAAAATGTCTAACACTCAAAGAGTTAAAAAGCAATTGAAGGTAACTAACTTCAAAACTAAATAAGACACTTTCAAGCCTAGAAATGAACAAAAACTTATTCACAATAGAGAGACAAAATAAGAATAGATAATGGGCGTTCTTGAATAAGCCCTTTATATACATAGTTTGAATTTTTGTAGGAGACTAAATTAAAAATAATCTCAGAATATTTTAGAATTCAAATTACCCAAAACCCTGGTAGCAGAAACCCTTCAGCATGGCAGTGGACGCTGCAGTTAATTAATTACAGCATCTGCACATTATTTTTCATTTCAAATTAAAAAAGAAACGAAAAAACACTGTTTTTAACCTTTTTAAAATTGTTTCTAATCAAAGTTGAGTTGAGAGAACACCACCAAGAGCAAAAAAAAGAAGAAGAAATTTTTTTTTTGTTACTTGATTACAGGCATTTATTGCATAGGGACTTTTTTTTAAACATTGGTGAATAAATCAAAATAAATTTAAAAGTGTATGATATTTTTATGTACAATTTTTAATACCTTATGTTTACAAATTTTGCCACGTACATGTTAGATTCAGGTGAATTTTTACAATAATTATATCTGTTTGTCTACCTTGGGGTCACAGGCAAATTTTGTATTTATGAAGATAGTGCTGCAGATTAACTCCCTAAATTCTGCTGCTAGACCTAAACTGTAGAACATTGCTTCAAACTGGATCCGTTAACCTGAAAACTCAGGTGATATGCAAATTGACCATATTGCAATCATCTTGTAGTTGATGATAAAAATGAAGAGTCTAGATCAGTGTTTCCCAACCTTTTTTGTACCATGCCCCACCTAAGCCTTTCTAAAATTCTTATGCCCCCCCCTATGTAACATATACATAATTTTTAATATTAAAAAATCGAATTGTTCACTTAAGAAACTTAGGAAATTGTTAGCGAAACAAAATAAATTTTCAGATTATATAATGAAAAACTAAAATTCAAATTCGAAATAATTTAATTAAAGATTTTTCTATAATAATTTAATATTTTAATTTAGTGAGATTCTTGCTCTTGATGCTTGCTGCACGTAGATTTTATCTTAGGTTCCAATTTGGTTAGCTTCAGTCTCAAGTCTCCCCGTTGTGTTATATCCAGACGATTTCTTTTTTTTACCAATAAAATCATTTACAGCACTAAATCCACATTCAGCTAAATATGAAGATGGAATCGGTAACAATAGTTTTCTTGCACATTTGATTGAATTTGGGTATTTGTTTTCTGTTTCCTCACGAAGCCATGCCATCACTCCTTTCATATTAAATAAAGTTTTAACTGACTCATCATTTTGCATTTCTGCAAGTTCTTCTTGATATATTTGATATATCAGACAAATCCACTAACATGGACTGCAACATCCATGTTGGAAAATAAATTTGTTTTAAATCAGAATATCTTTCTTTTAAATCAGCCGATAGAATTTTCAGATGATAGACAATAACAAGTAAAGCGGTATCATTTACTTCACATTTTTGGAGCCAATGAAACTGTTCAAAGTTTTTGTTGTTAATATATTTCTGACATAACTCAATAAGGGTAATGAAGCCAAATATCTTCGCTTTTGCATCAACAAGAGTTTTATTTGTTCCTTGAAGCTTCTTATTTAATATATTCAGTTTTTCAAAGATATTGGCTAAATAACTCACAAATGCTTTACCATCGACTGTAAACAGATATTTCATTTCAGGTTTGTCGCTTAAAAAATCCCTAAGTCACATAATATTTATTGACCGCAATTATTTAAGAATTTGCTTTTTTCTTTCGATTTTGTCACCGAAATCTTGCATAGTATTTAAATGGCCCAGAGCAAAAGGTTTAAACTCATGTCGAGTCCATTTTTGAATTGCCCCCCTTAACAATCAAATTGCTCCCCGGTGGGGCGTGGGCCCCACGTTGGGAAACACTGGTCTAGATCCTCCTCAACCACGTGGCCAACAACTGACTGTAGAGGGAATGTTTTGATTTTTTTTCTTTTTTAACTTTTTAATGCCTATAGTTGAAAGTAATAGATTTTTTAAGTATACAATACTTTTTGTTTTACCTACATCCCTCACTTCAAAATGTTTTACTTAAATAAAAAAAAACTAATTATGTGTGCATATCATTATTTTTGAATAATATTATTAATTTAAACAATAATTTAAACACTAATAATTAATATTTCAGAAACCTTCAAGTTCCACTAATCTTTTCATCTCTTTCTGCTCAGCAAAAATCTTCTGCTGTTGAGCCAGATAGCGCTGTACAAATTCATTTTGTTGAGTTGCAGCATCTAACTACAATGAAAACAATAAATCTGAATAAAATTTATCAATACATAAGTATTTATTTAATTACTATAATAGAATTCAGGCAAGCCATGCAATTAAAGCAGTTCCAAAAAAGAAAGGAAAAAAATAGAAAAGAAAAAAACTAACAAGAAAAATTAATAAATGCAGCTAAATAAAAGCATTAAATGTTTATTTAAGCAAGGCAACTTATCTCCACGTGTACTTACTTCTTTCTTTAGCTCACAATCTGTAAAGAAACAAAAATGATTAAAATACAGAACTCCATATTATTTACAAAATCAGATTAAAGCAGGGTTGGAAAAAATGCATGTTTTAAATAATTTAATTACTTTTTTAAAAATATTCTATACTTATATCGCAAAGAAAGTGTTTAATGGACATAGCACTTTGATTATATATTTTCAGAAAAGTTCTTAAAAAGTAGGTTCATTCTATTTTATAAACGTATAAATTTTGAAAATATATTTTATTAGTAATAAAACAATTATTATGTACTTTAAATAAGGAATGATTTCAGAAAATTCAATTCAATTTTTTACGGTGGAGACTATTTTGTTAATAAAATTAAATAGACTGAAAATCTTTGGTGCCCAAAATTTCATACCTCATTAAAAGTTAAACAATTTAGAAAGATGCATTAAATAGTTTAGATAGGAAAATAGAAACTGAATTCATAAATATACTATTTAAAGATTTATTATCTTTTCCCTCATCATAGAAGTGGTAAAACAAAAAAATAATAGTAATAGTAGATAAAAAAATATATAATTCTTCTAAAACCCTCATAAATATTATTTTAAACCAGAAACTATTACCAAAAAAAAAAAAAAAAAAATTTATAACTTTCCATTTTTGTTAAATGAAAAATATTTTTACTTATTTCTCAATAAGATAATTTAATTAACAAGAAGCACCACATCACAAACTAAGTTTGATGAGAGACCAAGAAATATTCCCTCCCCCTAACTGACACTAAATACATAGCAAAATGGATTTATTAAATGGGATGATGAGAATAGGGTATAAGACCATGTTCACAGCAATATGTAATAGTTTATGAAGAAGTTTCTAAATAGATTAAATTTGCTAAAACACATGGAAAAAAAATTTTATTGCCAGAAATAATCAATAATCAAGCTAGAATAAACTGATTTAATTAAAAACTCATTTTTTTCAACATTATATATTTTAGATATTTACAAAAGGCTGCAATATTTTATAATAAATGTAAAAACAAATATCAAAAAATGAACTTATAATTACGACGAACAAATTGAAACAGTGAGTTAGAAAAAAAACTGTTTAGGTGTGATAAAAAAAACTTGAAAAACAATAAATTATGAAAAAATACACACCAAGTTTATAAGCAGTTTTATTTGATTAAAATAGATCAAACCTCCAGTAAAAAGATTCACTAAGTTTATAAGCAGTGTATATTTCTACTGAAGGCTTGAAAAAAAGTTAAACTTAAAAAACACTAAATTATGAAAAACATTAACTTATGAAAAATATATACAAAGTTTAGAAACAGTTTTATTCGTATAAAATAGAACAAACCTCCAGTAGATTTCCTTTCTTCACAAAGCTTTTCAAACTCTAATTGCTATAAAGTAAAATACATTCAATTACTAACAAATTAGTTTAATTTTACATTGGAATGAATAAAATCCATTAATTTAAGGAAAATCATACACAGATGGAAAATCTATTTTAGAACAAAATTATATAAACATTCTACAAAAATTAGTAAAGGAATACAAAATAATCACCAATTCGGAGAAGAAAAATATTTTGGTATTTTCTTTTGTACTAAATTTAAAATTTTTTTCTTTTTTACTAAAAAGAAAAACAATCATTCCCTATAATCCCGAAGAAAAAAAAATTTTTTTAATTAAAAAAAAAGGTCAAAGGGAGATTTTTTGAACAAATCCTGTATTTTTTATTTGATTACAGAAATTTCCAATAGATATGTAGGTACATAATCTAGACTTAATATAATTCTAATTGGTTAAATTAGAATTGTATTAAGTCCTGATAATGTAAGTAACAAGAGAGATTGTGTTTATGACTACCGTAAAAGGAAGATAACCATAGTGCATGACTGTTTTCAGTTCTTGTGCTTGCATTAAATTTAAACTAGCAGTTTGCCTGCGTTATAATTATTGTTTTCAAATACTTAAAGGTTGGATGAACTATCTCTTTAAAAATAGTATACATACATACTTAGTTTAGTTTAAATGCACATTTTTTACCATTCTCGATCTTTTCCTTTAGAAACTTTTGATTCAAACACCTGTGGTTATGTGTTTCAACACCAAATGTATTCACACAATATATCACAATTGAATAGACAATGCTTGTTCCAATACTACTACTGGAATAATCTATCACTGAATGATTTTTGCAAAAAAGTCATTGTGTGCTCAGAAGATCAGCCCTTCTCCCTTTCAGAAAATTACAATCTTTGAAGGTGTTTGGATAAAAAAGTAAGCTGTTCAAATATATATAATACATGAAATTTATATAAAAAATTTAATTATGAAATTTAAATTTTCAAAAAAAGTTTTATCAAGGAAAAATTTCAAAAAATTTCGGAAATTTTTTTCTTCTTATTTTGGCATTTTTTTTACAAATACTTGTACTTTTCAGGGAAAAAAAGTAGGAAAAAAACAAGGCAAAAGTACAAGATTTAAAAAGTAATGAAGTACAAGTAAAAGCTCATACTTATTACTTTCGTTGTAAGTAACAAAAGTAGAAACGATGCTTTTGTTTTGTTGCGTGGCAGATTTAATTTTTAACATGCAGAAAATATCTCGGAAATTTATAGTAGATTGATACAACTCACTGCTGCTTCATATACAACACGAGATGAACAAAACAAGAAAATGGATCTTCAATAAGTACTCAAAGACAAAAAAAAAAAAGTCATTGCAAGGGTCTTTCACTTGGACATAAGTGATGGAGAAGGTATTCCAACAGCAAAAGCTAAGAGGGAACAAAGCGAGTAAGCAAATATGCCACAGAAAAGTATTTTGGATTGCCCCTGAATGTGATAGCAAAGGCACAGCTCCTTTTTTCCCAAGACTATAGTTAATTCTCAGGCAATATAGATTGTAATAATCTTTAAATGGGGATATGAAACAGTCAATAAACAGTAGTATCAAAATACTGATACGGCCCAGCCCTATTTGTTACGAGATATATTCCTTGAGTCAGTTGCCTTTTGTGATTTTTTTCTTTCTGGTGTGCAACTGTCCAGAAGTAACCAAATATTGCTGAATACTCTGACGCAGGTAGTATGTAGAAATCTACCTCAGTTGCCGCCTAACTGGTGCATTTTTTTAATAGTAAAATTGCGATTACCTCCTGATAACTATTTTGGATCAGTTAATCATAGGGTACATTTCAATATTGGTATCTGTTAGTGCAAGCTTTCTCTTACCATCCAAAAAATTTTAAAGAAAATATGTTGCGGCTGCAAGTTTCACCTTTCACAGTTCTGTGATGTCGTTTATAGTTTCACCTCAACCTTTGCCTGAAAAAATAAATTAAGACAATGTTTTTAAGCAGGGTTGGCAAGATTTTGCCGCAGGTGGAAAAAACCATGGTAAATACCGGTAAAAACCGTCCTGGCAAAAACAGGTTTTTGCCAAGCTAATTGGCAAAATGTGTGCAAAAACCTATATTTTCCAAGATGAGAGGACAAAAACACATTTTTGATGCAAAATTATTCCTAAAATTGAAATATATACTATAAATATAAATAATTACAAAAATTAACAAAATTATTATTCCATAATTAAATCATAATGTAATAATATATCATTTTAGTAGTTTAAAACATTATTGATTGGAAAATTTGTGATTATTCTCTTTTTTCCAGTGAAATGAACTTATTTTAAATTAAATTTAAAGCATAAAATATCTATCAACATGTGTAGTTAATTATTGTACAAATAATAATTTTTTATAATAAATAAAAATAATAATATTATACAAATAATATTTATTTATTTGTAAAAAAGCATTTACTTAAGGATTCTAAAATGAAAAGAGGTCAAAAACTTTCAATCTTTTAAAAATTATTACCCTTATATTAATTATTAATATGTTAAAAATAATTTTTTCATGTAATGTATCAAAATTATTATTCCTTATGATTGATTTAAATTTGTTTCTAGCATTTTGTAATAATATTTAATCAGCAATTTAGATAATTTGGTTTTTGCCGGTTTTTACCAGTTTTTGCCGGTTTTTACCAGGTTTTTGCCACTGTCCTGGCAAAAACCCCTTTTTGCCGGCAAAAACTCCAACCCTGTTTGTAAGGGATGGTGGCTTATTTTTACAAAAAGGGCAAGGACAGTGCTTTAATAGGGATCAAAGGGCAGGCAGGGCAGACGGCCCTTCTAAAAACGCTTAGACACAGCAGTAAAGTAGATTCTAATACAGAAATCATCACTCACAAAACGGCTAACTCACTTTTAATAAGGAAGTTTTACAAATAATTTACCCTTAAATTTAAGCCAGTAGTCATCACAAGATCTCAGGCAAACAACAAAATACTAATTAAATAATTTTGAAACAGAATAAAATCTTTTAATGCATATCAAATTATTTGTGATCAATAGTCAAACAATATTTATCACTTGTCGTAAGTCCTGGATTGAGACGAGATCCCCAATTAAATATTAAATATTTTTTTACAAAGCAATTTTATTTTCAGGATAAAAGACAATTTTGTTTCATACTTAAAATCTTTGAGATTTAAACAAAACGTATATGAACTTTAATAGTTATCATACTGTGCTGAATATTAAGACTGTGCCAGAATATTAAACAACATTTTATTTTAAGAGGTTTCTGCTGATATTTCAGTAACATGATCTGTTATGCTAACTATAATTGTTTATGGGCAAAATGGAAAATTTACAATTTAAAAAAAAAACATCTAGTGGAGTGATATTGAGAGATAGCGATAAAAAGGATTCTGGGGGTAGAGATATCGGGGTGATTTTCATATCGTGATCTGTGGCAGAATAATTGCCAAGTCTTGGAAACTTCCGGGCAGTGACCCGCGCGAACTAAAAAAAACATCGCAGAAAGGGACCAACTCAAAAGGTTTAACTCGTAGTCACCCCCAGGCTAACATCTACATGTTTTTTTAAAACAATTTGCAAGTTTAAAATCTATTTGGCATCTTGGCGATTGTAGTTGGTGAGACAGATAAGGAAATATCCCCAATTTTCAGACAACTAGTGAGAAACTAAAAATATTTTTAAAAAAACACCACATAAATGGATCAACTGAAAGGGTAGGTAGAAAAGGTAGATAGCCAAACACAGACAAATCTCTAAATATAAAAAAAGAAATTTTTTTTTAACTATATGGTCATTTCATATATTTTTAAAAAGTTTAAAATCCATTTGGGGCCGGCGATTATAGCTAATGCAACGGATTACGATACGAAAGTATCCTCAAGTATGTCCTTTTCTGTGATTTTTTTGTTTTATTTTTTAGTTTCTTGTGGACCACTGCCTGAAAGTTAAAAAACTAGGCGATTATTTTGATAGGGAATAGATAAGATATGAATAGATACGATAGGTAAGTCTTCGCGAGATTTCATTTCATATATCGCTTTTTGCTGATTAAAAGGGCGGGAAGTTGAGAGAATATGAAAATCTTCAAATATACCAGAATTGTAATCTAATCCTCGTTTTTGATTTTTTTTAACGCTTCGAGTCTAAAAAATTTATATAATATTGACGTTTTGATAATCGTTAATGCAATTTAAAAGTATGGTAAAAAGTATCAAATGGTATATTTAAAAAAAGTAAATATAAGATTGATCAATTAATGAAAAATAATCTACGAAATAAAAAAAATCATTGAAATGCTTTTAAAAATGTTATTAATAATTATTTTTATTTTGTTGACTAAATAATTGACTAACATAATTAGCAGTTGGTAAATTTAGGCTTACTTGTTTCAATCGTTTAATTAGATCTTTTTTGCTTCCGCTCTTCGACAAGCCACGCTTCTCTAATTCTTGTTTTAAATCAACAACTCTTAGATTCGCAAGATTTTTTCCATCTAACGATATGGAAAGTTCTTCTTCCATAATCATCAAGTTATAAATTTAGGCTTAACAAAACAAAATATAAATAAAACAAAACCAAAACAAATATTACGCAAGATATGATTTCAATTCCGTTTCCATAGCATGATTAGCACACTTGTATACAAAGCGCTGATTGGTCGACAATAACTAATGCCAGATTCAGAATGTTTTAAGGCCAAAAATGTGATTTTGTCTAGGATGCTGTTTATTTGCAGCGACTATTGATTAAGTAGATACATTTTATTGGCTGATTTCAGCATCGTTGTCACTTAATCGTTGTTCATGTTTACAAGATTTGACACATCACATCAGTCTTTTTCAGTGACTTTGAGCGCGCATGTGTATTTTTTGCAGCCGGAGTGCGTAGACAACTTACAATTTGCTTTATTGTTGTTGTTGTAGTTAATTTACGTGGCACTAGAGCTGCACGATGGGCTATTGGCGACTGTCTAGGAAGAACCCCTGAGGATGATCCGAAGACATGCCATCACAATTTTGATCCTCTGCAGAGGGGATGGCACCTCCACTTCGGCAGCCCGACGACCTAATTTACTTTATTCAAAAAAATATATATATATCAATTATCTCAAACTAACTGCAGGGTCGAAACTATGCCTGGGCAGTCGGAGTACCGCCATGGGGCCCCGACGGTCAAGGGGGCCCCATGTGCTCTCAATATAAATGTAAACAATAACAATCTCGAGCTCAATACCTGCTCTAGTTCCGGTTAGAAAGTTTGCAACTGCTTACTACAACTTATTCTTAGAGCGATATTTTCAAACGGATAATTTTGTTTTCAATAAAAGAAGTAAATTAGATAATTTCTGAGCTCAATTCTGCCGTATTTCATAAGATATTAATGTTATTAAGTAATTCTGGTGAGTTTGAAGTAAAAAATTTGTTTTAGTTAGTGACTTGTTTGCTAGATTTTGAATAATTCGCTTTTTTGGCAGTTCTGATTTGGCCTCTTTCCATTTTTTTATTACTGTTTGCTCTTGTTGCAAGCTGCCCACCATCTTACGTTAGTGTTAGTACCTTTAGCATTGTAAAAACAAGTAATAAGTAATCAAATACCACATTTGCAAAAATCTCAAAACACAATGACAATGTTGTGAGCCAAATAGTTTTAAAATACACCTGTAACAGTAACCCGAAAGTATAGGCGGTATGGAGCTTGCAGCTTTCCCTAGTGTAGAAAACACCATCCATTTATAAGGAATTGTGTGCAGATAGAATTGCTAAAAATTTTCTGTTTTGTAATTGCATATCTACTTTAATATAAAGAGAAGTTTAAAAATCGGTTAAAAGACTTAACCTACTGAATTTTTACACATTAAATTATAATAAGAATAGATTTTATGAATGAAATAATTTTTTTTGTTGAAAATATCAACTTTTAAGAAAGAAAAAAAAAATATTGTGAGACAAACCACAGGGGTTAGTCAACGAAAAAAGCAGGAGATGCAGCCTCTTATATAATTAAAATTTGTATTTGAGATTCCTAAACTTTAAAGTTGGGGATCAATAATTTCAAAACGAAAATACAGAGAATATACCACTTAACATTTTTGTTTTTTGTACACAAGTAATGTTAGTGAATGATATACTCAATTCACTATTTTAAAGGTATATGGCAGGAGTGGTCAACCTGCGGCTCTTTGAAGGATTATTTGTGGCTCTCGTTAAATGTACCCGAGTTCCCTTTTCATTTTTGTGCTATTGTATTTAAAAATATTATTATCGTTCCGTATGTGTTTCAAAATGTCTTTTAAATTACTGAGAACAAATAAGAAAAACAAAGTGAAATGTTGTTTAACTCAAGGGGAGTTTTCCATTTCCAATATAATTATGACATAAAAACATCTGGAGAATTAGAATTAATAGAGATGCAAGAAGATCAAGCTCTACAATTAAAATATAAGTCGACATCGATTACTGAATTTTGGAAATTCGTACCAGAATTAAAAAAGGCTGCTTGTCGAATTATTTCAATATTCGGAACAACACACTTATGTGAATCATTTTATTCCACTTCAAAATTTGTGTTAAATCTCAAGTGATTACTGAGAAGTGCTGTCACCAATTATTCACCAAATTTTAAAGAATTATCAAGAGAAGTAAAATAAATGTGTTTAATTTTCATTATTTAAATGCAATACACCCTACATGTTTTTAATAAATATAAATTCTGTAAAAAAAATTTAATACCTTTCAAATACGTATTTAATTGCGGCTCGCGGAAAATTTCAAACTTGAAAAATGACTCGACTATCAAGGAGCTTGGCCACCCCTGGTAGTGGTATATGATATGGTTACTCTATTGTTAACTGAAAGCGATCATTTTTAAAAACGGATACAAGAGGCGAATCAATAATTATGAAATTACAATTATCCACCTTACAAGATTAGTTTCTGTATTTGCTTAAAATAATAAAAAATCATATGACCCCAGAACTCATCAGCTTAAGAAATTTGATATTTGAATTTGTTCTTTTTCTTCTTAGAATGAGGAAGGATTGAATTCCTAAAACGGTTTAAACAATGAATCCCGCGAGTAAGGCTACATGCCAGAACAATGTATATTTGTAGATTGTTCCTTAATATGACTTAAATTTTGTGATTTCTAGTAAAATTTTTTATTAAAATGAAAAGATGCGGGATCAAAAATTCAAAAATGTACATTTTTATTCTTTAAGAACTGGATGTTCTATACATATCAGATCAAAAGGCTTTTCTCAAGTATGAATTCCATAGTGTCTACTTAAACTTCTTTTTTGTGTGAAAGATTTATCACACATATTGCATTGAAAAGGTTTCTCTTCAGCACGAACAATAAATTGAGCTTTTAAATTACCTTTCTGTGTGAATGTTTTATTACATATACTGCATGAATAAGGCTTTTCTCCAGTATGAACAATAGTATGAGTATTTAAACTACTTTTCTGTGAGAATGTTTTATCACATACACCGCATGAATAAGGCTTCTCACCAGTAGGAACAACATAGTGGGTCTTAAGATTAAACTTATGAGCAAATGTTTTATCGCACATATCACAAGAATAATTCTTTCTTCCAGAATGAACAATAGAGTGTTTGTTTAAAGCACCTTTCTGAGTGAATGCTTTGTCACAGATATTGCATGAATAAAGTTTTTCTCCAGTATGAACACGAGAATGTTTATATAAATTAACTTTGTGTGCGAATGTTGCATCACACACATGACATGAGTAAGGCCTATATCCAGAATGAACAAGACAATGCTTTTTTAAACTAACTTTCTGGGCATAAGTTTTGCCACATACATTGCAAGAATACGGTTTTTCACCAGCATGAACAACATGTGGGAGGCGGAGTTATCGACCATGCCAACCTTCATCTATCAAAAGATACCTCTTGATAGAATCAAGTTAGCATGCTTTAACTTGTTTTTTATTTATTTATATCACGAAATATATACTTCACGTTTTTTACCACTACAATTTCAAGAAGCATGCATAGTTTAGTAGTATTCACGAGTTTTATGTCTATTTACTTTTTAATTGATGAAATCTTTAGTAAGACATTATTTTATGTTAAATATTTTAAATCCGAAAAATAATTATAAATGCTTTGTTTAAAAAAGATTAATTATTGAATTCTGAAAGCACTGACTTATTTTTATCTATATAAATTAAGAATAGAAAATTTCCGAATATGTCCCATTTAATATAAAAGAAATAACTATCATATGATCTTATAGCATTCTTTAATTTACGCCAGCCATAAGATAAACTGCGAAACTATAGTAAACCAGAAACATGAATTTTGTTGCCACTGAAAAGATAGGCACTTCACTTCCTGTAATGGTTCTCTGTTAAAACACTCGTTTATATTCGATTCAACAGTCGATAAATTTAACAACAAAAACGTTTTAAAACATTCACACTGAGAACTAGAGAATGAAAACAGGAAAAAAGTCTAATTTTTACTGCAGTATATGTGATTTAACTTTCATAAAGAATGCTCACTTAAAAAAACATAGTGTTATTCATGTTGGAAAACCTTATTTATGCAATCTGTGTGATAAAATATTTGCGAATAAAGGAAGTTTGAAGGCACACTGTGTTGTTCATACTGGAGAAACATATTCCTGCAATGTCTGTGATAAAACTTTCCACCGAAAATCTAGTTTAACAAGTCACAGTGCTATTCATACTGGTGAGAAACCTTATTCGTGCAATTTGTGTGATAAAACATTTGCTTACAGAGTAAGTTTAAAAGAACATAATGTGGTTCATAGTGGAGAAAAATCTTATTCATGCCATGTGTGTGATGCAACATTCGCACACAAAGTTAGTTTAACTAAACATTGTCTTGTTCATACTGGAGAAAAACCTTATTCATGCAGCATCTGTGACAAAACATTCGCACAGAAAGGTGCTTTAACTAAACACTCTCTTGTTCATTCTGGAAAAAAGAATTATTCTTGCAATAAGTGTGATAAAACATTTACATATAAATTTAATTTAAAAACCCACTATGTTGTTCATACTGGTGAGAAGCCTTATTCATGCAGTGTGTGTGATAAAACATTCTCGCAGAAAAGTAGTTTAAATAGTCACTCACTTCTTCATACTGGTGAAAAACCTTATTCATGCAGTATATGTGATAAAACATTCACACAGAAAAGTAATTTAAAAGCTCACGCTCCTGTTCATGCTGAAGAGAAGCTTTTTGCATGTAATGTGTGTGATAAATCTTTTAGACTAAAAAGAAGTTTAAATCGACACTATGGTGTTCATACTTGAGAGAAGCCTTATTCATGTACTATGTGCAGGGTTGGCGTTAGACATGAGTTCAGGCTCGCATTTAGAGGACTGAGCCCAAGATACATAGGATTACCTAGATGAGACATACGTTGGATAAAGGCTAAATTTTGCGACCTTTGATGTTTGAATAAGGAAATTAGTCATTATAACTAATTTATCGCAATTAAATAACAAATTTTATACTTAATAATTGTTTGAAAGCAGTAAAAAAATTATGAGAATTTTTATTTCATTTTCATAAGTTTTTTAAGATATTTTGTGATTATTTGTCTATTTTAACTCCCTCCCCCTTGATTTGTTCTGTTGTCGAGCACTAATAAGACTTCTCTATAATCTAATGAAAGTTATAGCGAGTATAGTATGTTAGGAGATATCCTTTACTATGACATAATTCCAAGTTATTGTCAAAATAATAATCAATTCATAAAAGATTTTTTATCTTAAATTAAATTTTATATCTTTTATTCTTACAACAAGTTAAAAATTACTAAACTTTCATTATTGCGACAGTTTTATTTTAACCACTATCGGGCCTATTTTTAGGTATATATTTTTTTAATGTTTATTATATACTGGCGAATAAATTTGTAAAAATGAAACATTTATGTATACCAGGTGTGATTATATTCCGGCTGTAACCCGAAGTTCCGGGTTTTTCGTATCATCTCTCCAGGTCTAGAAACTAGGAGCAGGAAATTTTGTTATTTTTTGCTGGTAACTCAAGACCATTGGTTTGCGAACTTCTGTGAATCAAAACTTATTTAACGAAATTTTCACTGCAATCAAAAATAAGAATTAAGTTCTATGATCTAAAATGCAAATTTTGAAACCTTTGCTAAATCGCCTTAACGAGATGTTTTCATACACACGACTCTTCCGTAATTTTGGTTTGTTGGATTTTTATTGTTTTTAATATTTAAAACTATGCCAGAATCCGCTAATATTACGATTCATATTCACGCGATTTTGATTTAAAATTGTACATTTCATATTCTTGGGATTTAAAAACCCAATATCGCAATTTGTATTTACACGTTTTGATATAAATATTGTGGTTCGAATCTAAATAATTATGTGAATAAAAATCCAATGTCGCTATTCATATTCACAAGATCTAAAAATCATGTACTGTGATTCGTATTTACAAGATTTAAAAGTCCAATATTGCGATTTGTGTTATCACATTCTTAAATCCAATATTACGATTCATATTCGCACGATACAAAAACCCAATGTCGTGATTTGTATTTTCGCGTTTTAAATTTCAATATCACGATTCTTGTAAGAACTAAATTTTTTCTTAAATTAGTTACTTTAAAAATGTAATATTCTTTATTGCTAGGCAATTTAATTATAAATCTCAGTTCATAAAATTATAATAAATATGAATAGTATATAAATTGGTATCTTAAATTAGTTATAAAAATGTGATATTCTTTATTGCTTGGCAATTTAATTATAAATCTTAGTTCAAAAAATTATATTAAATATGAATTGTATATAAATCAGTATCTTAAATTAGTTAGTTTAAAAATGTGACATTCTTTATTGCTAGGCAATTTAATTATAAATCTTAGTTAAAACAATTACATTAAATATGAATAGTATATAAATTGATATCTTGTTATCGAGTTTTTGCTCATAAAATTTTTTGGGTTTTTCACTATCATATTCCTGGTATATTGTCGAGGGTTTTATGACTTTGATAACAAAATCTTTGGTGTGAAATTTTTTCTTACTTTCTAATGTAGGGGAACTTGCTCAGCATTTTGAATAATAACAAAGGGCTGCATGCATATTTAGACACGTTAATGGCAAATAAAAAAATTTTCATATTAACATAAGCACTAATTTTTTATTTATCGGTATTTCAGAAAATTAAGTAATTTTAATTTTCAAAAATATTTTTCATTTTTAATAATTAAAAAGCTGATACTTTTTTTTTGTCATGTCACTTAGTTTTTTTTTTTTAATGGCGGGCACTTGGGGTTTTGTCCCATTGGCCACAGAAATGCTACTCTCTTCACGTTACCCAGTGGGCACCTGTGGTGAAGCCACGGCGGTGGAGCAGCGTCGCCAACGTCACGCAACCACAAACCTGTTTATAGGGCGGGTCACATTCACACAAAGAGGAAAGGACATAGAACACACACAGAGAAAGAAACATCCATGCCCTGAGCAGAATTCGATCCCCCGGCCAATCAGACACGCTAACCACTAGGCCACCTGATCAGCTCATGTCAGTTAGTAAGGAAAATCATTTTTACAATAAATTCAAACTTTTAATCGGGAAATGCATATTTTGATGAGTAATATAAATTGAATATTTTAATTGAAGAAAATTGATAGGTTTTAAACCAAAGTTTATAATAAAACCATTTAAAAGATTCAATATTTGTTTCGTGTTATACTTCAGATAGTATTTCTACTTCTTGAATTATTAGAGGTTTCATAAATTGTAAATAGGAATATATTCGTTTTTTCCTGAAAAAAAATCCCCTAAGTTACAAAATTTTTTTTAAAAAAAATTGCAGACATGGTTCTGTCTGCCGAAAAAACGGTGACAATTGGATTGACAATTAAATATGACACAGAATTGATTCAAAAAGGGATTATTTAAATGCATGATTAAAAACTCGCATAGATCTAAAAAAAATGGGATCATCAAAATCATGTGGAAAAACATTGCAATAGTTGAAAAAAAATGGCTTGCATTACGATTAAATTAGTTTGATTAAAGTGTCAATAAGTAATTTTTAAAATGTATTCTTTAAAATTTGCATGTCTTAATAATATTCAGAACTTTTAAAATCACATGGAAATTTAAAGCAATAACTGCCGAAAAATTACATGGATTTACACTGAAATCGGTATTAACACAGAAAGTCAAAAATTGATTATTTAAATGTGCGATTTGAAACTCCCATGTCATAATAATCTTTAATTGAAAATTTGGCATTTTTAAAATCATGGGAAAAAAAAATCGCAAAAACTGCCTTTTAAAAAAATTTTTGTTTTACAACGGAATCTGCATAAATAAAGAGAGTAAAAAAGTGCTTGATTTAAGTATATAAGATATTAAATGCACAATGTAAAGCTCACAAGTTGTAATATAGTAAATATATCTGAATTTTAAAAACCCCGTAAACAAAATGGCATAAAGAAAGCATCAAAAAATCACTTGGATTTAAGATGAAATTTGCAAAAATAAAGCGAAACAAAAAGTGATTAATATCGTATTAAAAGTATTGGGTGTTTTAAAAACCATACAAAATTCTGACAGTGAAAAAAGCAGTCGATAAACATAAATTTACAATAGAATCTGTAAATTGAGCTCAAACCGAAACAAGAGAGTAATAAGTCTAGTAAATGTAATATGCTGTGAATGGATTTTTGAAATATTGTTCAGCAATGTAAACACGTTCTCTCGTATTGTGCTGCATTTTTACTAACTCTAGACTATCTTCTGCGAAATGTTTTTGTTTGTCAGTACTAAATTAATTTTTGATTCAATTCTAATCTTGCATACGTTTTGACACACCATTTACTTGAGCAAATTTGGCTTCTCAAGAGAAAGTGGAACAAAATATCAGATTTATATTCCTGAGAAAATTTGAACCAATTTATACACACACACAAATACTCTTGCAAAGTAAAAGCAAAACAAATTTAATATAATGGAGCTATTCAAAAGGAGAGTTTTATAGATTAAATTTTCACGTAGATTTATATATTCAGATATTTATGAAGAGAAGAAAATTTTTATTATAAATGATCATCAGTCCTTAAAAAGCAGTGAAGAATTGGTTTGATATTAAACCATAAGTATGCAGATATTTCTTACCACTTTGCAGAAATCCACAGCGAAAGTAATGTTTATTGAAATTCAATTTTTTTTTAAATATAATAAATATTTTTAACTAATTATTTTTTATTTAACAGTATTTAATTTTTTTCCTTTTGTTTTATAGAAACGGTTTTCATTTATAATTCAAATAATTTTTTCTCTTTTTTTCTTCTTCGGAATTCTGCATTTATATTTTGACGCTTATTCAGATAAAGAATTTTAACTGCTTATTCAGAAATACTTGAATATAATTTGTGAAGATCAATTTTGAGAAAAGATATCAAAAAGCATAAGCAAATGTTTAGAATGTTTTTTTTTAGACTTTTAGTATATTCAAAGAAACTGAAAATTTCAATCCTGATCCTGGTTTGAGATAAATCCAGATAGCATCTTCTATTTTTTTTTGTAAGCATAATGAAATGGTTTTGCATTTTCATAAAACCATCCATTAAAAAAAAACTTCAGGATGAAAATGCTTATGGTTATTGTTTCTGAGACTTAAATAAAACAGTCAGTACAAAAAAATTCTGATAAAGAAATTTATTCAATCATTTGATATTACAATGAAAATATACCAAAGTGATGAAATTTCTAACAACATATTAAATCATTCTATGTTATGCACAGATTATGAAATGATCGTCGGTGGAACATAATGATATTAATACTGTGATGATAAGAATTTACGTATCTCAGATATCTAGTATAAAATAATGAAGAAACAAAACTTTAGCTGCAGTAAAGATAAAATATAAATATGAAACATTAAAATTAATATATTTTTTTTTAAAAACATCAATCAATTAAAACAAAAACTTTTTCTTCTATAGAATCTAATTATTTAGTTGAACAAACTATTAATTAACATTTGATTTTTAATTAATTTTTCTAATTAAAAACATTCCTTATAAAACACCTCCAATACATTAAGAATAATAACTTAAATAACATTTAACTAGGTTGAAATTGAAAATATATCAATCTACCTGTATTACCAATTTAAAAACTAAATCCAAATTGCAAACTTTTTTTTTAACACAATGTTTGTTATTTAAGTAAAATATTTTGAAAAAGGAAAAAATAAAAGCCAAGATTAAATATGTTAAAGCTAATAATATATGTTTTGAAATGTTTAATATATAATTTTTGATTATTACTATTACATTAGATGTGGGTGCATAATTATTATGAATTAATTCTTACAAAATTAAAATTAATTCTAACAAAAGTTAATATTTTAGATAAATTTTTTAATAGGAAATGCCCTAATGAAAAGTGCATCCGCAATAACATCATATTTCAGGGCAATAAAGAATGTTAGGAAGTGTGCCTTACACAGGGTGCGTAGCCAAATCTTTGAATCAAAAATAAGCACTTTTTAAAAACTTTTCAAGCACTTTACAAAAATTTTCAAGGACTCAAAAAATTCATATTCAATCAATGATATTATTGAAAAACAAAAACTTTTTATAAACAGTTTTAGCGTTAAAAAAAAACAAAAAAGAAACGGGCGTAAATCAAAACAATCAGTACCTTCCCGCATCACTGAGTGAATTCAACTTGACCCTGAACTCAGAATAAAAGTACCCTTACCCCCTACGTCAAAAAAAGTGTTAGAAGTAAAATAAAATAAACAAGAACAAAAATAAATTAAATCAAAAAGAAAAACATTTCATAAGGATCTGATATTCACTATCCGAATTGGAGCACTCGGGTTTCGGTTTCAAGTGTGCGCATGCGCAAGTCATAACATGGGTACGACATGAAGTCCGCGTCAATGATTACGTACCAAACTCCCCATTTTTCGTGAAATGCATGGGATCCACCAGATATCACTGAAGGAAAGAAAAAAAAATTATTCGGAAAAAAAAGCACTTTTTAAAAACGCCAGCTGAAAAAAGCACCTTTAAAAGCTTTTAAAAACGAAATCCCCAAAAAAGCACCTTTAAGTACTTTTTACAAACGCTACGCACCCTGTTACAGATTGTATATAAAGTGATCAACCAATTCACATGAGAGCATTTAATCTGAAAGTAAAGCTGTGCTAAAGATGCATGTGTACAGAACACACAACATTGGTGTTTTTAGTGGTAAAAGGTTAGCCTAATATGGACATTAATCATAACAGTAGCTGTTAACAAATAAACTAGGAGACTGTCTAGGACAGGGATGAGCCAACTGTGGCCCGCCGGAAAGTTTTATCCAGCCCGTGGATAGAATTTGTACTTGCCAATCCATGGCGAATGTAAACAATATATATCCATTTTCTTGTCTACTTTATTTAAAGCTATTCTCGTTCTTTCTTTTTTTAAAAAGTTCTTTTTACTTTCTCTACTTTTGTTTTACAAAGCATAAATTGATGGAAATAGCTGTCACATACAGCTTAAAATGGTAAAAAAGTCCTTTATAGAATAGCCATAGATGGACACCATCTGAAGCAGTTGTTTCTAAGTATGCAAAAGTTTGAGTTTTACAAATCATTACCAGAAGCTAGTGTCCCAAATTTAATATTTCATGCCCAGAAAATCAGTGCTATGTTTGCTTCATCTTATATATGTGAACAAGTGTTTCCAACAATGAACCTTAGATATAATCATTTCAGAACTAGACTAATAGACAAACAGCTCATTCTAGGCAGAATTATTCTAGAAAGGCAATAATTTCTTTCTATAGGCTTTACACGTTCTATTAAATAACATTGTCAATTAGTAAAAGAATTTTTTTAAAAACTTTAATAAAAGTAGCAAAGCAATCATATTTATTACTAAATTAACATATATCGAGTTAATGAGCTAATTAGCTTAGTAATTTATTTAAAATGCATGCATATATTAATAAAATAATAAATGTATGTTTTTGAGTGTCTGTAGTAATGATTTAATAATTAAAATGATTAATGATAGTGGAAATAACTGCTAACTTTCAAAGACAAGTGCAACAAGGGGGTGTAATGGCTATTTTTCCTTATCCATATAAATCTATGTACAGCAATACAAATTTTATACATACAGCAATGACAAACTAAATAAAAAGAGTTAAAAACAACAAAAGTTTAAGAAATTCATTGCAGAGTTTGGGGAAAAAAATAAAGAAGGGTTAAGGACAGAAAGGGTATGGAGTCTATTACATCAGGGCACTAATTTACTTCAGGGGCAACAGGGTTGATTCTTTTGACTAAAAGGGCAGCAGGGTGCTGCGCCCTGTTTACCCTGCCTAGAATGAGCTCTGAGACAAACATTTAGCCTCCTTCCTTAAAATAAGTACATCTCACTTGGAACCTCAACATAAGGAACTTTAAAAAATGAAGTCACAATTTTATTCATCTCATTAAATATTTAAATTAAAACTTGTAGTATACTGTTTTTACCGGGCCCACCAAACCTTTCCTCTCTCATTTTTTTGCCCTCGACCAAAAAAGTTTGCCCACCCCTGTTTCAGGACAAATGGCTGTAAGCAAATTGTGGGAAAATTTTCATGAAGGGTGGACATCAGTATCAGGTGAGTCAAGTCAAAGGAAAGCAAACACATGTTTTTCAATGACTCAATTGTTGCTGTTAATGAAGTAATCAAAAAGTTACATCTAGTAAAATTAGTGTTCTACTCTATTTGAATAAAAGAACAATGCAATTATTTTTGCTATTAAATATTGATATTGTGCATTGTTCTGTTCTGGGTGTATCCATCTTAGCATGACTTTTAAAATTCATTTTATGTTCTGAAACTGGTTGATCTGATAAGCAGTTTGCATTGTATTTCTTTTAAAGCCCTGCATGGTTGCATTGTTATATCATTGCTGTATATTCAATGCTTGTAATGCTTTCATACACATTCACTTTTTATTAAGGTGTATTTAAGCAACCCTTATACTCTAAATTTACAATTTATTAAATAAGTACAGTTTATGAATAAAATATTACGGGTTTAATTATTACAGGTTAACAAAATACTTAAACAAACAGGTCTAATATTACAGGTTAATTCAAAACTTAATATTTTAATTAGAATAATTGATATAGTACTCAAAGAACATGCAAAACATATGTCAATTTAAAATGATAAATAACAGTAACGGGGTATTTAAGTACAATTTAAATATTAAATGACGAACTTAAACAAGAACTAAACGCTTCCAAAACATTTGAATTATTTGAAACCGAAAATGCAAATTGAAAAATGTTAGAACATCCAATGATGGTATTTTTTTTATACATATTTTAATAGTAAAAATTAATATTATTAACTTAAAACACACATATAAAAGAATACATGCAATACAATAAAACTGTTTTTGTTTATATAAATGTAAAGAAAATTAGATTAATGTCTTTAATTTATGCACATAACTTCATAACATATAAAATTAATGTAGAAAAATGCACACAAATAAACTTGTTATGAGCCATCACGAATTAGAAAATGATTTGTTTTTGTTTATGCATGAAGCTTTAAAATAAACATAGAATAGGTCAGACACAAAACTAAAACTATACTTTGATTGTGTTTCATTACCAATATTAACGTAATTTATAACATGGGCAATTTTATACATGCAAACTCAAAATAAACTTTAGTTTAGGAAAAAAAGTGTAACAGAATATATATATTATTTTCTGGTTATGAAATAACACGATTACTTATATTTCAATATACACAAATAAAATGACAGCATACAACCCAATAAAAAATTTTCTACCATAATAAAAAGGGAAAAAAAGTGTAAGAGAAATCTATATTCAAATTATGAATTTTATTTTAAAATTAGCTAAATAGCACTATTCTTTGATTGAAAATAAAATGAACCATGTTAAATGACAACAAAAATTTTCGATGAAATAATTTTAACAAATAAACATTAAAAAAAAAAAAAAAAGCAAAANAAAAAAAAAAAAAAAAAAAAAAAAAAAAAAAAAATTAAAAAAAAAAAAAAAAAAACAAATAAAAAGTAGAATTTTATATTCATATGATACAGAAAAAAATGTGCATAAGATAATATTTAGTTCTCATAAAAAATGTTAATAAACAATGAATCAACTGTTTATGATAAAAATGATTTCTGAGCCATTGCAATGCACATGTTTTCTTACTCTATGCCTGATCACATCACATGTGAGACATTTTAAATTAAATCGATGCAACTAAAATGCAAGAGGAAAATATATAGTGCTTTGCCACTTTTTCATTAACATCCATAGATAAATGCTGATCTGAAATAACAAAACAAACAAATTAAAACACAATAAGGATTCCTAACAAATTTTAGTAAATTTAATTAAAATAGCAATTTAAACACATCAATTGACAAGCTCAAAATTAATAAATAGCACTCAAAATGGTAATTAATCAGAATTAATATCACTTGAATATTAAAACCTCCATCGAGCAGTTTTCTGATTTAACAGTAATTATCAAGTATCCAGTGCACAGATAGTTTAAAGTATAAAATAATGATATAAACTAATACTTTGCACTGGTTTTGGAAACATTTGTTTTCCATATAAATAAATAAAAATAAATTCAATAGACATTTGACTCTCCCAAACTTGGCAAAAATTGCTTGTAAAGCAGCCAATTACAATGTTACAACTGCATAAATCAAGAATCAGTTATGCTGATTAAAATATGGATAATAGGTACGCAAAATTATTTGAAATGCAGTCAATTACAATGTAGTTTCAATTGTATAAACCAAGAATCAGCTATACTGATTAAAATATCAAGGATAATAGGTATGCAGGTAAGCTCATCAATCTGTGACGTTTAACAGCTTGTGTAAACTGAAAAAAAAAAAAANAAAAAAAAAAAAAAAAAAAAAAAAAAAAAAAAAAAAAAAAAAAAAAAAAAACGGAAGTAAGATCTTTTGGGTACATTAGAGATGAGGGCTTCTACAGAAAAATTCCCTGAGGGATACCATACACAAATATTTTATATGCGTACATATGTCAGATAAGATGATGCATTATTTGCCAAGTTTAAAAACATTTATATTTTTATAAGATTCAAAATTAAATTTCAGTACATTTTTAATAAAAAATTACCATTTTGATAAAAAATATCAAGCAGACAGAAAATTTTCCACAATTGTAAAACAATCACTTCAGTTCACTTAGTTTTACAAGTTTAACTGAGTTCATAAACTTAGTTTTACTACTTTTTAGCTTAACTTTCACTTAGTTTTTGTAAGAAAACATAACTGTTTTATTACACTGCTTCCTTAAAAAGCATTTTCTAAACTATTACTTTATATAATTAAATAACAATAAAAAATATTTACAAACAAGTTTAGTCAACTTACCACAGTTGCTTATAGTAATAAAAATTCAGTAATTTTCTGGATCTAATAGTCTTCTCCCCTCATCTAGGTGTCGCCTCAGAGCCCTGGGTGACGTACTACCAATATCACGTAGATTTCGAGGTGTGTTGATAAGTCTTTCAAACCCATGGTCTGCCACTCTGTTAAAAGGATATAAATGAAGAATTTTTAAGAATGTCACTTTACATAAGTTGTCTCCTCCACTGTAGAATAATAGAAAAATAATAAAATCAGTGCTAAAAAAATTAATTACTCTATTCCTCAGCAAGAAGCCAGTAATTAATCTTACAGCATTATAATAGTTATATAATGGGAACAATAAAAATTAGTGTTGATAAGTCTTTCAAATCCATTTTCTCTGGCTTTGTTAAAAAGATATAAATGAAGAATGTCATTTTACATAAGTTGCCTAGCACAACGTAAGAATGATAGATAAATAATAATAAGATCAGTACTAAAAAATAAGTTCATCCACTCCTCAACAAGAAGCCAGTAATAACTCTTTCAGCAGTTTACTAGTTATATAATGAGAATAATAAAATTTAAATGGACCAAACAAATAAAATAACAATTTGAAAATTAAATGTAATCCACCATAATTTATTTTTGAGATAATAGTATTTCAGCATACCAGCATTTTAATTGTCATGAAACAATCATAAAACTGGACAAAACTTGAAAGTAAATGAAATAAAGAAAAAAAACTTACGATCCAAAGCTTTCAGTTTCTTCAATACTTTCTGGAAGTTGTCTGTTATGAGTTTCAGGTAAGGCCAATGTGAGAAGACCGGATATGATAGATGCAAGGGCAAATATTATCATTGGAAGGGGTCGATAAATTTTTCGCTAAAAAGAAATTTAGGTAAGTAATGGATATAAAACTTAATTGAATGAATATAATTTAAAAATAAAAATCTTAATTTGTACAAAATTTTATTAGTACCAATATGAAGACGAATACAAAGACAATTCATATAGAAATGGGAAAATAATGACAAATTTATTGCATTAGTTTGAGATTAAGAGCGATAAATTATAGAAAGCTTCTGTATGCTAAAAAAAAACAATAAGAAATGCAGAGGACAAAATAGCATTCGAACGAAATTATAAGCACAAGAAAAATGTAAATGAAATTAAATATAATAGGCAATATAAGTATAAAGCCAATTTGTGTTAAGTTTAAAATAACTTCAGAAAATTTGCAAGGCTGATTGTGCTCCGGAAAAAATCTGGACTTTTCAATAACCGTGATCTGGAAGTTTCCGGAGATCGAAGGTTCAGACATTTAAAAAAAATCATTGATCACAAAAGTTTCCGGAAATCAAATTTTCAAAGGAGGAACTTAAAAACACAGTTTATTTTATTTGTTTGTAAGGGAGAGCCAGATACTTTATAAGCTTATATTCAAGATTAATATTCATTTATCATCAGTAAATAGCTATTATAATCATTAACTCTAAAAAGAAAAGACATATTTGTAAATTTCATTTACTTCTCCAGGTCATCATAGGTATGTATAAATGGTATAGGTATGTGTAAAATTTTAAATATATTTTAAGTAAACTAAGAAATATTGAGAAAAATGAAAAAATCCTTGCTTGAATTTTTTTTCAAATTTTTCGATTAAATTTTTTTTTTTATTTAAGAAATTTTCTGGAATTTTGACTCGGACTCACAATCACCCCTGGACTTGTAATAGCACACAATTTATTGATTTAAGTATTACAAACAAGGCAATTAAAAGAAATTAAAAATTAAATGAACACTATAAAAGTCAGACTCTTGAAAAAATTAAAAGGACTCAAAGAAGTATGACCAGACTCTAGATCTCCAATGAACAATGAAATGGGATTTTCTCAATATGGAAGGGGAATTACTGGATCTTATATCATGTATGAGTATACAATGAATTTTTAAAAAAAAATTAAATATTTATATTTCTTTACCAGTGAGAAGTGGAGACAAATTTTTTAATTCGAAGACTCAAATCTTTTTCAGGGTGCGCTGCCAAGTTTTTCAACAAAAAATAAGCACTTTTAAACACTCAAAAAATATTTTTAAGCACATTAACAAAATGCAAAATGATTTTAAAAGACTTTACATGATCATGATAAAATAACTAGCGTTTGACAAGGAACTCTTTTCTTGATTAGCCATTAAAAAATGATCCAAGAGATTTCTCGGTTTGATTTCAGATGGTGGAAAATGAAGCTTGAAATTGATAATATCTTGCAAAATGCACAACAGAGTTGCACATGAGAGTGCAATAATCTCACTGAAACCGGTTCACATGCGGACTCGCAAGTATTTCATCAAACATGTAAAAGGATTGGCGCTTTCATACACTATGGACCGACGGTACGTTGAAATAGATTATGGTTGAATGAATTGTGAAAACGTTGTGTGAATGTGAAAAGCAGGCTTTTCCATAAGACGTGGCAAAATTGACATGTTAAAGAAAAAAATCTCATTTTCGAAAAGGGAAAATTAAGCACTTTAAAAAACATCCAATGAAAAAAGCACCTTTAAGGGCTTTTAAATAACGAAAGTTGAAAATAAGCACCTTTAAGCACTTTTTAAAAACGCAACGCACCATGTTAAATATGTAAGGCTAAGAAAAAGAGCCTAGGCCGTAAATTAAATAAATTAATAACCAAGGCATGGATTCCTTAACTTTCTTTGACAAAAACTATTCTAATTTATACACAAGAGTCGCTTTTTTGATTTCTTGGTGGACGGAGGTGTGCTGTGGGGTTCAGTCCTGCAGTCACACTCTTCAGACCCTTTTCAAAATTTTTATATTGAATAATTCATGTATACATAATAAAAATTTCTCTTTAGTTTGGAGCTCCACTTTTTGCCAAAATAAAACTTTTTTGTATTACTTGTTATAGTTTGATATTCCTTATTTAAGTGATTAATGATGTTTATTATATAATAGATCCTGTATCCTTGGAATAAAATAGTGAACAATTGGAACTACACCAATCAACATTTTCAACCAATGGCAAATCATCAAGCTACTTCAAATAGTAATTTAATAGCCCATAGTAATAGTAATAGTAATAGCCCATATAATTCTGGGACGCAATGAGATTTTTTGAAATTTAATGTTATATATTCATTAACTATAAATATATTTATATATTATCGAAAAAATTAATTTGCAAAGTGTTTATTACGGTTAAGCATTAAAAACAATGGATATAAATACAGAACATAAGATTGTAAACTTACCTTAAAAAAACATTTTTATTGAAAAAAATCCGATATTTTTGTTTGTTTATTCATTTTTCTGACTGTTAAGTCAACCAACAAAGTATGCATAGAGTCCAATGCCCGAAAATGATTTTCATTTGTGAATGGAAGACTTGAGAAAAATGTCTTTAGAGATTTTACGGATTGAAGAGCTTCATGGGGTGACAATACGGACTGTGATACACATGGATCATCATCACCATCTTCTTCCTCATCATTATTTTCCATTTCATCCGTAATTTCAGAGAGAATCTCTTCATCACTAACTCCTGCGAAAATTGTGAGATCGTCATCGGCAGTTAAATAGTCCTCCACGTTAACACCATATGTTTTACCCATTTTTTCCTCAAGTTGGGATAAAGATTTTTGAAGATTCAAAACAAATTCTTGATTATCTGAAAGATCACTGTCTGTGGAATTTTCTTCACTATTAGAAACAATTTCATCTTCCAAGACACACAAACCGGCCTTTTTCCAACAATTTTGAATAGTTTTTTCTGTTACCTCCCACCAACTACCAGCAATAATATCACATGCTTCCTTGACATTCACAGTTTTAAAAGGATCTTCTACTTTATTTTCGATGTTGACAAGTATCGATTCAACCAAACGCTTCCTGTAGTATCCTTTGAAACACTTGATTATGCCCATGTCGAGTGGCTGCAAAATCGAAGTGCAGTTGGCCGGGAAATAAACAATTTCGACGTTGTGTAGTTTTGGAATTGAGGTGTGAGCGGTGCAGTTATCAATTAATAAAGCAATTTTTTTCTTCCTCTTTTTCATTTCTTTATCTAACATCAACAACCATTCAGAAAAAAACTTAGAAGTCATCCAAGCTTTTTTATTGGCTTTATATTCCACGGGAAGACTTTTCACATTCTTGAAACACCTCGGCTTCAATGATTTGCCGATAACAAGAGGTTGAATCTTGTGTGTCCCTGTGCTATTGGCACACAGAAGAACAGTCAATCTCTGCTTTGATTTTTTTCCGCCGTAACATTTTTCACCCTTAAATGCCAATGTTCGATCGGGAAGGAGTTGAAAAAACAGCCCAGCTTCATCTGCGTTATAAACGTTCTCTGGTTTATACTTTTGAAGAATATCTGTCATCTTCTCTTGCTTCCATTCATTTGCTTCGTTAATCGGAGCAGATTTTTTCTCTCCGTGAACTTCCTGGAAAGTTATTCCATGTCGATCCCGAAAACGCATTAGCCAACCATTACTAGCTTTAAAAGTTTCGTTCCCTAGCATTACTGCGAATTTACGTGCTTGTGTGCATAACAAGGGCCCATTTATCGGGATATTTGTTGCTCTCATCTCTTGAAACCATTTTAAGACGGCAGCATCAATGTTTTCATTAGTTGCGACTTTTAGTCGTTTACGCTTTGGATTAATTAAATTTGAACTTACAGTATCTTCGATCTGTTTTCTTTTCTTTAGAAACGTTGCAACTGTAGATTGAGATAATCCGTATTTTCTAGCTGCATCAATCTGTTTCATTCCATCATCAATATCTTTAATAACGTTAAGTTTATCTTGAAATGAAAGTTGCTTTCTCCCTGCCATTACACTAGTAAAAAATATCCAATACACTGAAGACTCACCAAGCTGAAAATGTTAGCAGCACTAAATGCGAAAAGTTCTGATCGTAGAATTTGCGCTAGCTCATGAAAACACCAGGTGTAGTTTAAATCAGGGATTAAGTGACAGTGATGAACGATGACCAATGGTCAGTATACATTTTTTTCTCCTCCTCAATTTCAATAAACGTGCTCCACCCACCTTCTACAGAAACAGTACCTTCTCAGGGTCGCAGGTGTTACTGTGATGTGTGTGGTCATTTATGACTCATGATGTTACAATGGTGATTTCTTAAGAACTGAGGGAGGCAATTCTAAAACATGAAGCTCTTAGGGTGGTCTAAGTACCTCAACAGTGGGGGAATGAAATTTGAATACAAAAGCCATTCTCTGATGTGCAAAGAAATAACAGTGGGGTGAAAGATCATAACCAGCAGTGACCCTTTTATCAGAAAAGATGAAAAAAATGGTAAAAGATGACAAAAAGGCATTTTACATTATTTGAAAACCAATAAAAAAAAATAGAAAATAATGTTGAAATTTGAAAAAAAATCGTTTTACAGAGGTTTACTGCTTCAGAGAATATCGTTATATTGAGAGGAAGATAACATTAATCCATATGCAAGTTTGGCGGGACCACGGAACATTATCGTAATAGAGGGAGTTATTGTTGTATCGGATATCGCAGTAGCGAGAGTTCACTGTATATTTCTTAAAAAAAAATTCATTATTAGCAAAATGGGCAATAGTTAGAACTGGACTGAGTAGTCTACCAAATTTAAAAAAGATATGTAAAAGATCTTTAAGACAAAAATTGAAACTCTAAAAAAAAACGTTAAAATGTATTGCATTTCTCCAATCAAAATATTTAACTGTACTCCAATTTTCTACTAAGAATACATATTAGAAAATAGCAACAAAAATAATAATAAATAAACATAAAAAAATAAAGCTAAGATTTAACTTACCATTTCATTGATAAAAGGAGCAATGATTCCTCCCAAACGGGCAAACATGCTACTGAAACCTAGTCCAGTACTTCTCAATACAGTGGGATAAATTTCAGTGGAGTAAATATAGATGATAGCAAAGGATGCTGCAATTGCACTTTTGCCCACTACAGCTAGTAAGGTAGTTACCCAAGGAAGAGCTTAAAAAGTATTTTAAACTATTAATATTCAAACTATCATTATATATCATACGAATTTAAAAAAAATAAATGGAATTAACACTCAAAGCAAGTCTAACCTATAAGCATTGATTATAGTAAAATATCTAATTCGACACAAAACAATAGTTGAGAATTATATAATTTATAAGTTTGTTAAAAGAAGAGGCTTATGGGCTTTATTATATATTACAACCACAATTTATGTAGTAAAAGCATATTGTCATGGAAATAATCTAGTCTCTTAATAAGCAATGGTAAAAATCCAGTTTTTCTTAGTATTGATAGTGTGGAGGGTGAGTTCTTATCGACAATGTCAACCTTCATCTATGAAAAAGTACCCTATCATAGAATTGAATTAACATGTCTTATGTACTAGTGAATTGTAATTTTGTAGTGGTAGATACCCTACTCTACAGTACTCTCCCACCAGAATTATATCTGTGACAGAATTCGATGAACGGATACCACTAGTTAATTCATTGCTGTTTTGTGAGAAGCCGGGAAAGCTGTATTAAGATCACCGTATTTATTGAATGCTGATGTGAGAGGTGTATTAACTTCACAGTCGTAGTCACTCCTTTGTTGCCATTAGCAGTCGAGTGTATGCAAGCCGACGTTGTGCGTGATCGAGACGAAACTGAGTAGCAACAGTGTGAGGAGGTGGATAATGTCGCAGTCACAAGAAGCAAGTCAACTGCTCAATGTGGACCATCCATCGAAGTAGGGGTATTAAGATCGAAGTGGGCGTTACTGTCAAGATAGGCGTGTTCATATCGAAGTGGGCGTTTCTGCCAAGGAAGGCGTGTTCACATCACGTCCGGGTTACCAATGTCAACCTTCATCTATGAAAAAGTACCCCATCATAGAATCGAGTTAACATGTCTAATATACTAGTGAATTGTAATTCAGGGAGGCCACTCAAATCAGATTTCAAATTTCCCTGATTTTTCCAGGTTTTCCAGATAAAAATCTTAAAATTTCCAGGTTTTTGTTTCCTTTTTCTTATAAAGTGTAGGATGTGTACAAGAAAAGTGTCTATATTATAAAATATTTTATTCAAAATGTTATTTTTTTAACATATCATCTTGAGAAAAATAATTTATTTTGGTAATTTGGCTAGATTTTTTATTTATTTTTCAAATGTTTTGGGGGAAAATTTTGAATCAAAAATCATATATTGACCAACAAAAGAGTAAAATTAAATATTAATATATAGTTGGTTCTTTAAAAAAAAAACATTTTTCTAAAATATGTTATAAAAGGCTAAAATGAAATAGAAAAAAATTAGCTTAATGCAAAAATTGTAACGAATTATCGACAAACATTGCTGTTAGCGATTGTAAAAAAAATGTGTGATTGGTTGGTTTGCTGAGAAAAAATAATTCGCAGATTTCTTTGAATGGGAGTAGAAAAGCTTTCAGAAAAAGAGTGCAATATAAAATCTATTATGATTAAATTATAACCAACAATTTTTGGAGAATTTTATTAAGTTAAAAATACAAAAACATTTTGTCCAAATAGAAAAAAAAAATTACCACCAAAGTAACGGAACAAACTTGAGCCATAAATGGATTCAGCCCAAGGACAGAATTTAAAAACAGAAGCTAATATCCTAATCCCCTTTTCCATCTCCACCAGAATCTTTCCTAAATTGCACAGTCCCATAGCGGTCAAAGGTTTCTGCATTCGTTTAACAAACCGTGGGAGAATTTTATGTGGTATTCTAGTTTGACAAAGCTGTAATGGAGCAAATTTTGATGCAGACAAAGTATTGTTAAGTTAATGATATTTCAACTGTTTAGCGATACATTTCCGTCTAAAAAAGTGGGTATAATGGATGAAATAGTTTAAATTAAGAAAATTAGTAAATAATTTATATTAGTGAAATTAAAAAAATTATCAAAGAAAAAATTTCCAGCTTTTCCTTAAAATTCCCTGATTTTTCCAGGTTCTTATCAAAATTTTCCTGATATTTCCAGGTTTTTTCCAGTATAAAAAAATTCCCTGATAATTCCAGGTTTTCAAGGTTTTCCAGGTGGGTGGCCACCCTGTAATTTTGTAGTGGTAGATACCCTACAATAGCTTTTACCTTCATATTATGCTAATAAAAAGGTTATTTCAAGATACTGAGAAATGGTAATCATCAAATTCACAAATACTCACCTTGAGGTACAAATACTGTTGATCCACAAGCAATCCCTCCAAAAACCATAACAGAACACAATACAGGCCTCCTTCCACAATAATGCAAAGCCCAGGTAGCTAAAAGAACGGCAGGAATTTCAACTGCTGCTAATATGGCAAAATTGGCATAAGCATTCCCGCTGAGATTACCAGTACTCAATGAAAGCCCATAATAAACCATAGCATTCACAATCCTGAAAAAAAAAAGGTAACAAAGAAATCATTTAAAGAGTAGGAATATACCAACATACAGTGAAACTTTTTAATAGCAGGAGCAGAGATATAGCTAGGGCTTACAGCCCCTTACAATATGAAGCCTAGGGCTTACAGCCCATTACCATATGATCTCAGGCTTGGGGACCATTTTAAGTTTCAGATTGCACAAAAACTGAAGCCATAGGATTGTTAAATATTACATTGAATGAGATTTTGAAATCTTAAATAATAATTTTTAAAACATGACTTGATAACCTCAAAAATTTTAATTGGATTTCTTTTTAAAATTTAATCTTAACCCCTTGTCTGGCGTTGGTGTATATATACTCTTCGCAATGCTTTAACTGCAGCCCTTGGAGTATATCTATATTTATCTTTCCGAAGCCTGCAATGCACTTTGTCATGCGTTACTATAAGTAAAACTACTCTCATAGCTTCGGAGTGAAATAGAGACCTAGGAGAGTGTATTCATAAGATTTCAGATAAATTTAGTCAGGCGTCCCCCATTTTCCCTCTCCAATACAAATCAAAACTATGCACGACGTTGTAGAAGCCAGTTGCACTGGGGGAGTGAATCTCAAAAGTTTCCTCAGTAGGCAAGCGGTTAACACTGTTTTAATTACATTTACATGCCATTGATCACATTTATAGATTTAGACAAATTAATTACAGGATATCCGCGCACCTGGAAAGTCATTAAAAATCATGGAAAGTCACAAATTCCGGTATTGAACAAAATTTGTCATGAAATGTCATGATTTTAACTACTTTTTTTAAAAAAAAAAATCATGGAAAGTAATGGATTGAGGAAGTCGAAAAATTTTATTTTTAAAATGGCTATTTTATTGCTTCAACTCTTTACTTACTCTGTTTTTTTAAATTTAAGATCAATAAATATGAAGATACTGAGTATAACAGTTTTGGTTATACCTATCATTTTAATTAATGTTATTGTAAATAATGCTTTTTAAATTTATTATTCTGTTTTTGTCAGAGAAAATAGTAATTTCGTTAAGTCATGAAAAATTCTTGGAATCAGTCATGCAAAGTCATGAATTTGAAAATCTAAAATGTAGCAGATACCCTGCAATTAAATTGCATTTCTAAGGACTTTTTTAATTTAATATGTCGCCATTTTGTCAAAAAAGAAAAAAAGGAAGAAAGTAAACCTGCGTTCAAAGCAAACTGCAATAATAATAGACATCCTATTCAATTTTCAGATAAATCAGATACAAGTTTGAAGAAATTATGGGCTACATAATTAACAAATGAAGGTGGGGGTATTTAAAAGCGAAAAATATTTTATTCTGGTATTTTCTTGAATTTGGTGCCCCTCAAAAAAGTATAAGTCTTCTGCAAGCTCCACCACTGAGCAGGAGTTACTTTTCCTAAGTAACAGAAGAGTCATAAAATAACAGGGAAAAGTAAGAGAATGAAATGACTCAGAAAAGAAATGTTAGTTAAAACAATGACATAAACTAGCGTCGTTAAGAAAAAGAAAATTTTTCTTCCCAAGTCTCAAAATTTATTGCAAAGTTTGTCACTGCAAACAGAGATTAACTAAAAATCAAAGTTGCCTAAGGACAAGACTAGTTGTGAACATTGCAAATATTTCAGAGTGAATTGATTTGCTTGAAGCAAAAAACCTTTTAGGCTTTCCCAGTCAGCTTGTAATTAAGTTCGGAAAATTAGAACATAAACTTTACATCACATTTCCTTTTGTTTTCCTGATATGCTGTTTGCAAATGATGTCACACATGTAGGAGAGACAGTGGTTAATAAAATTGTGACAAGGTGGAAGGAAGGAGTAACAAGAAGTTTGACAGCATACATTTATGTTATAATAAAAACATTAAAATTCAGCAGAATAGTTATCAAATTGTTTTATTTTGTCCATCTAACATAGTTATGCTCTTAAATGTCATTAAAACACAGTGTAAAGTGAAAATATGATTTATGTATTATGAGTCTGAATTGATAGCATATCTTTAAGTAATCTAGAACAAAATGTGACATTGTAAAGTGTGCAATAAATAAAAAAAGGGATGTAAAAAATAGAAAGAAGGGATGTAAAAAATACTGGAGAAAAAAAATGTATAATCATTTAAGAACAGTGTTAATTTTTTTTATTTATTAAAGTGTCAGTCCCTCTGGGATATCTGTTAATTAGAAATTAGTAACGAAAGTAACTAACTAATAACTCTATTATGAGCATCAAAACTTAACATTTGCATAGAGTAAATAGCTAAAGTTTGCCTGTTTGTTTGTAATCATGAACTTGTACATTTTATACAACAATTATGTAATGCTCACCAATTGAAAAATAAATTCATACTCCATTTTCTAATGACTGGTGTTCTAACAAGATCCATTGGACCTGCAGTTTGTTGTACTTCTTCAGTTTGAATGTTATTAGTGCCCTGTACACAAAATCATAATAGTTAAATTAATTTTTACACAACCCACATAAAAAGTACATGTTAAATTTTTCAAAACTAAAGCTTTAAATTATGATATGGTTATTTTTATTACATTAAATGCCTGTAAATTCCTCTTTTATTTATTTATTTTTGCCAAAAATGTAGACTTGACAAAAAAAAAAAAAACTATCAATTGAGTGTCTAACAATAAATAACACAATATTTCCATTAAAATAATAATCTAAGTAACAATTGAAATTAATTATCAAATTAATTTTAAAGTTACATAATTAATTAAGAATTTGCTATAATTAATCTAAAAACGTTTTCATAAATTTTTTGGGCACATCAGATATCGCTCGGTGTTATACTTAATCATTGAAAAATAACAGCAAATTTTCAAAATAAACTATATTAACTTGCAGGAATTCAATTTTAAGAATATTCAAACAGTGAATAATGGAGAAATTGGAGCATTCATGAATTTCTGAAGATTTTTTTTTATATAAAAGACTTATGGAAATATAAAATGTTTTTAAAAATAATAATGTGTAGTAATGAAAATAAAACTTTTTGTTACTCTTTCGTTACACTCCAATTTTTTTTCTTGTTTTGTTATCGTACATCTTAATGATCTAAACAATTCCAAAGACATATAAAAGAAAGTCCAGAAAATTTATATTGATTTACATGCTTTAAGTAAAGTCTTTTCTAAAGATTAAAAAGAAATCTAATAGCTTAGTCATTTAAAAGCAATTGTACAGTTATAAGGAATTCTATTCATTAATTCATATTTTTGCAATACTAAATTGCAGATCAAAATACAAAATTTTTAAACATTTGTTGTTATATAATAGTAATGAAACATCATTACTTGATACTTTGTTGCAAGCTTTTATCAATTATTTTACATCAGCTTGATAGTTTAAACCAATTGTTAATTAAGTATGAAAAAAAGAAAATTTTTATGCTAGCCAAAGACTTTACTGCTACACTTTGCCAAATATTAGGGTAAGATGATTATTTAAATATTTTGCTTATTCAAATATTTGGTCAGAGAAATGGAATATCAATTAGAAACTGAATATTCAGTTTTATTTCATAATTTAAAATCATAATGGAAAAAAACGTACAATCAGAAATTCAATATGTACAGGACATTTAATTTTTTGTATTCAGCTCCATATAAATTTAAAAATTTTTTTTTTAATGAGGAAATACTAAGTTTTCTTAAATGATCTTTATCATTTAAAGAATATTTATTTTTTGTACATTTTGTTTCATTACAAATATTATTAATCATAAAAATAAATACTTTTATTCAAAGAAATAAGAGTTAATGAATAAATGGAAAACATTTTTCATACATTTCTATAAAATTCGGTGGATTCTAACATAAAATAAATTTACATAATCAGCTGCTCTTAGAAGATGATCTGGTATAGTGACGTTGTTCCATCGTGCTGCCTTCATAATGGTTTTCCTAGCCTGATCATGTTTACCTTTTGAAATCAGCCAACGAACTGATTCTGGTAGCAACCTAGAATATGTTATGAAAATTAAGTTAAAATTTTTTTTAACTGAGTAAGTAAATAAAATTCATAAATATACTTTAATTTAAAATGTAAAATTGGAATTATGAAAATGGAAAGAAAGAAAAGAACCTCATAATAAAAGGTTAATTTTATATTAGTTTTTGAAAATAGATAACTGGGGTAAAATTAAAATAAAGGAACTGAAGAAATGGAAGAATGGAACTGAAATTCGCCTAAAAAAAGGCTTCGCAATAACTAACATTCTGTGAACAATTATAAACATAATATAGGAGCAGGAAAAAGGAATGTATTAAAAAGCAACTTAAGAGTGGCAAAAATATAATTTATCAAAAATTTTATTGTAAAGCATTTCTCTACTTACAACTGCATTCTCAATAAATGGCTATTAATAAAATCTAGAAATATTTACATTCACTTTCATTAAAATAAAAGTTATAATAGAGGTCACAAAACATTGTACAAACTATTTTAAAATTATTACAATCTAGAAAATTAAAAGCAACATAAAATATTGACAAAAGAAAAAAAGGAAAAGAATACAGATTTTTGCTGACTGGCAAAGAAATATTTTGTTTTTATACATTTCAAGGTGCTTAAAAGGAATATGTTCTGTTCGTATGAAGTCTACGGACTGGCTTTGAGGATGCTTTTCCGCATAACCACTGAATCTATCTTTTAAAACGTTTTTTATTTGTTTGCTTGAATTTTTAATCTTTTTTAATACTTTAATAAGGTTTTTCCTTTAATATAGAAAGTGTCTTCTTCAATTAAATGCAAAAAAACAGCAAATTTAAGAATTTCTAGTATAAATTTAAAAAAAAAATATCTTTGAACATGAAAAATAATAAAATAAAAAATTCAAAAATTTATTTAATGAAATAGCAATAGCTTAACAAATTTCATAATATAAACTAACAATTCTGCATAAAACTTATTTAAATATTTGCAAATATTGTAATCTTCATGCGTAGACAATCTCTTAAGTAAATTAACCACAAAACAAAATTGAGCAAACTTAGTCTAGATTTAATCATAAAAATGTGCAAAGTAAAAAAATGAAGAAAAAAAAAACCTTTTATGAAGAAACATCTTACACTACTTTAAAATAAATGAGCTTACATTTTTTAAGTTATTGTCGAGTTTTATTAAGCAATGCAATCTCGTTAATACGCAATCTAAATGCAATCTAGTCAGACACAAATTTAATTATTTAAGTTGTTTATAATCAATAAGGATAAAACTACTTTAAAAATAATGAGTTCCAATAAAATTGAGTTAAGCACTTACCAATAATAAACAAGCAATATTGCAGCAGGCACAGATATCACTAATTCAAGAATTCTCCATTTTCGAACAAAGTAAGCAACAAAACTTAGAATTAGTTCGCCAAATGCAAAAACTATTTGCAAAAGGTTAGCACACAACAATCTTTTTGAAGTACCAATAAACTCAATAGCTAAAAAATCATGAGAATGATATTAGAATTGTATTGAAAAAGTGCTTCAAAAATTACTTAAGAAGAATTTTTTTTTTTAATAAATTATATGGATTTATGGTTCGTCAGCTGTTTTTTTCTTATAAGTAATTTGCATAGTCCATAAAATTTTTTAGGTGTGTCTACATGGTTAGAAGCAGAACTTATTGAATCAATCTACAGCACTATCATCAAAAGTTCAAATTTGTCTAGGACCCTTAAATAGCCTGACCGGTCATAAAAAGGTCGCTAAACAAGTAGGAGTGTTTACTTGCTTAGAAGCCTGATAGCACAATTTACTAAATCAATCTGCAGCAAAGTTCAAATTTGTCTGGGATCTATCCTGTCTGACAGGCTATGAAAAATTAAGTTATAGCAAAATTTGCATGAATAAGGTAGTGCCATAAAAGTTTTGTGCGTTATTTCAATTCAACTTTTATACAATAATACTTTTAAAAAATGGAATAAATCCCAATAAAAGCTTGTAGCAAAATCACTGGAATTTTCCAAAATTATTAAAATTAATGTTCAAATTTATATTAATAAATAACAGGAAGATATGAGAACAAGAACAGAAAACAATTTTCAAGAAATGTTTTTCAAATTATAACCAAACTTTCCTCCAGTGTTGCAAATTATTTCAGTCAGAAAAAAAAAGACAAATTTTTCAGCACTCAATTTACAATCTTAGTTTTAGAACCATTTTACATTGACTAAATACATTTTTTAAATCAGAATAATGGAGATTTATACTTTAAAGTATAAAAAATAGCCCTTTTTATGACTAACAACAGAAATGAAATATATCCTGAAATATAATATGAAATATATCGACCATATCATTCATTGTGATGAAGCCTTTCTCCCAATTTAAAAAAAATAAATTTTTTGGATTTTGTTTTTAAACTATTGAAATCCTACAAAATAAACTGTTGGTATTATAAATATAAATACATGATTCACTTTTAAGGCTAAAAAAAATCAGATGTCCACAAGTTAAATATTAGAAAGAAATTTGACAGACTTTAAAATATATCAGATCTTATTTAATCATGAAACAAATTTATATATATATATATATATATATATATATATATATACGGT